TGGGAATTAGGACGCACGCAGCGTGGTTAGCTGATAGTAGAACCGCCTCAGAGACAGTTCATGTAGGAACCCCCCTTGCGTTCTCAGAAAAACGTCTTTAGCGTAGACCGTGTTCACCAGATTTAGAACACTTGGGTTATACTGGAAGCGCAATGGCTTCTGTGGTGCATATGCAGTACTTTCAGTGCCCTCTGTGTTAATAAATTATAACTTACAAGTTATTATCCACTGGATTTAAATTGCTACGTTTATGATACTTGTTTGTGAATGTATTCAGTGACCACGTTTAAACTACCTAAATTGTAGGCGTCCAGTTATATTGGAAGGTGATCATGAATGGTAAATACGTAAGGATTTGAAAGGAGACCACCGTGGCTTATTTCAGGGTATGTTCCCCGAATTCGCCTCTGGAATCTGATTAAAACCATTAATGAAAACAGTTTTATAGCTGGACCGGGATTCGAACGTCTTACCTCTGAAATACAGAGGGACCCCAAAAAATGTATGCACACTTCAGCGTACAAAATGATCCGCGTAAATAATATAATGCTATATAAGCAGATACTCATATGTTGTAGGTTGAAGTGCGTGTACATTTTTCTGGGCCCCTGTGTACAAGTCCGGAGCGTTGCTGGTGGCTACGCGGCAGGGACTCTGTGTAACAGACATACAAAGAAGGCACAATATGGTATGTATTTCATGAGAGTGTTGTTTAGTAATTGCATGAGCGTCAGTGCAAATAAAGTAATCGTGCACGCGCAGGTGAATACAGGCAGAGAAGTCACACTTGTGTTTCGGGCCCCAAGAGTCACTCGCCTCGCCATCTAACTGAACGAGCATTGGAGCGGCCGCCTTACATCAACATTCAAACCATTGCAACATTTTGCCATGGTGGGCAGTGCCAAGTAACCCAACAGAAATGGAGGTGGATTCAAAAGAATGCGTGTGAGGTTCGTTGCGCCGAGAGAGATAAATATATGAGCTTGCGGTATTATGAAGCCACGGCTCCACATCTCTTTGTTGGGCCTTGGCCTCTATTTAATTTCTTGATCCTATACACAGTTGGTAGGACTCCTTGGACGGGGGATCAGCCCTTCGCAAAGCCTCTGCCTACACACAGAACAACACAAACGCAGAATAAACGCACAGTATAGACTTCCCATGCCTTGAGCGGGATTCGAACCTGCGATCCCAGCGTTGGAGCGAGCGAAGACAGTTCATGCCTTACACCGCGCGGCCACTGTGATCGGCAGATACTACGAATATAGGGCAATTATCAGTTGACATGAACGTAGTTACCAAAACCCACAGTGATTAGTCGCATTGTTAATTATTATAGATAATTTCCTCCTGTTCCTCTTGCTAAGCTTAGTCGATATATTAAGACAACTGACAGCAAGCTGTCCGGTCTACGAAACTGAGAATAACGGCCTTGGGAATCCGTTACGCTGACCACGCCACACCCTCTATCCGCAAAACTTGGCACTAACTTCGCCGAAAAGCGGCGGTCGCTCGGTCGGTATAGTTTGATTGTGGACTAATGGCCAGGGAGGAAAGGAGGGCTACAAGTTGAAGGACAAAAGATTATCCTCTCTTCGCTGTGTCCTGTCCGGTGAATACTGGGGTCTTTCTCCATGGGATAAAGCGGTCGGGGCGTGAAGATAACTACGCCTTTTCATATACAGCCGTAGTTAAAAATATGTGACGCTGTACCTCCACTCCTTAATGTTGTGGTGCGTTGTCTTGCCCAACACGACATACCTCAACACCGACACATGACATTTTGGTGCCTACGGCAAAATTTGGCTGACGCTGATTGGTGTAGTCCCCGCCACGTGACGGTCTGTGTCAAGTACAGTTACCGGTCAGCCAAGCGTCAGAGCTTAAGGCATGTGGAGCAAGAATTAGCACACAAAATCGTGTTTTTGGAATAATTGCATGATAATAAAGTGATAACAGTAATGAAGAGTATTGCTAACTATAAATACGACCAGTTCGGCGTATTGTGATGTAAGACGACCTGGAGTGGAATCAGATCGTTACATTACAGTACTGTAACGCTGTCACATTTGCAAACCGCCATCCTTCGCCGTCTCTTACCGTTCCCAATTTAATTTGTTTGCAGGGAAAATAAAGTATAACAAACCCTGCATAGTATGAAGAAAGTAGTCTTCTGGGATGTGGCGCCGTGTAGATATTGTATTAACCGACGTTTCGGAGGAACATATCGCCTCCATCGCGCAGGTTCGCTCTCGGATTTCATCTTTCCTCTACCCTGAAGATGGAGGCGATACGTTCCTCCGAAACGTCGGTTAACACAATATATACACGGCACTACATCCCAGAATACTGCTTTCTTCATAGCCACCGCCGTGAAAACCTCAAATCTTACACCTGCGTAGTAGTTTCGCGTTCTCTACTATAAACTGTTCTCGCGAAATGTGCGTATTGTGTGTCCCCCTCATAGGCAACCCGATTTCAGACTTTCGCACACGAGAGACTCAGGAAAGACGCGGTGTTAGGAGGTGTAGCGAGTCAGATGAGAACGAAGCAGGAAACACAGATAGAAACCGTGAAGTGGCGTGCAATTCTAACCGTGTTTCGTGTCATTCCAGATATATTTATTGCAGCAGTTGCACTCCACAGGTGGGCAGGGCATGTAGCACGAATGGGGAGAAGAGGAATGCTTATAGGATATTAGTGGGAAAGCCAGAAGGAAAGAACCACTGGGAAGACCAAGGCGTAGATGGATGGACAATATTAAAACGGATATTAGAGAGATAGTATGGGATGGTATGGATTGGATTGATCTGGCTCAGGATAGGGAGCAGTGGAGGGCTCTTGTGAACACGGTAATGAACCCTCGGGTTCCATGAAATGTTTGGGAAATTCTTGAGTAGCTGCAGATTTGGCTTCTCAAGAAGGGCTCAGCTCCATAAGTAAGTAAATTGCATTCCACTTTATCAGGGGAGTCTGACTTTTGACCCAAGGATTTATCGAAGTAAAGTTTCAGAACTTTTAAGCCTTATGGTAGGTATAGTTGTCTTGTATATTGTACAGTACATTGCCCCACGCATACACAGTATATTCGAATTAAGGGGCTCTTTTCCAGTCTTCAGGCAACGTGCTTTACCTTGTAGTTTACAGATTTTAATTTTATTTCTTACGTTAATAACAGCATCTAATATTGAACTCGGACACCGTTCAAAACCGTCCAAGTTAAGGTTAATATTCACCGGTTTCCTGGATCGATTCACACCGTTGCCACTGCCTCGAAGATGAAACACTGTCCGTATATTCAGATTGCGGTCTTATGGGGTGTGACACCTTCTGGTCTTGTAAGTTGATACCAGTTTTGGTATGTTGAAAGTGGATAGGGTTATATGTGGTCAGGTTATATGGACAAGGTGTCTTGCAGCAACAAGGGGCACGTGAAGGTGGTGGACCGTCATAAGCCTCGGGGTTTGGGGGTAAAGCGGATAGAGCCCTGTCCGTGGACGTATCAAGAGGAGGTGCCTGTTTTGCCCTTCGAGAAAACCGGCGTGGGAGCCTTAGCATTTAAACCTGTCAGTGTTCTAATGACCATTGCCCCAGGACGAAAGAAAGGTTGTCAGAACGTCTTATTTATTTAAATATACCCCAGACAGTCTACAGTACGCGACATATTTACAACGCATAAAATCATTCAGCGCCACGCACGTTTCTAAATATAGCGCTTAGAGTGTGAAAATAGCCAAGATTTGTACACATTGCCTGTCTGAATTTTGAGAAAGATTGGGTAAAATAAATCTAGGTCTGCACGCTTACCCCGTTATACTGCCTCGAGAATTGAAGTCACATTTCGGATTGTGAGTTCCCTGGCACCAAGTGTTGGGCTTTTTAAAGTTTAGTTAATTTCCTTTCTGTATAAAATTTATTTATCTGAAACTTGGGGTAATTTATTGTAACGTATTTGGTGTTTTAGTTTAGAAATTTAGATCCTGACTGCACACACTTGTGTGACCAGAACATTTTCATTTCTAAGAACTGCGCATGTTATAGTCTGCTTGGATTTAGATACACAAATGTTCCTGCATAATTTTTACAATTTTACGCTCACCAAGACACGCATGCTTCATATAAAATTTGTCAAACTACAGTGAACGACTAAATAAAAACGTTTCATGAAATGTTTAATTTTCAGTTTTGCAGGATCTTTATTGGAAGCACATTATCACATTTAAGGAATGCTTTCCATAGTCACGTTCGTAGGCACATAATAAGTTCTTTCACTGAAATAATGCGCACTGCCGCCATGTTTTTGTAGACGATCAGAGGAATTAAAAGGTTGTGACTTCATTCAGACCGTATTCTTCTGGGTTGTGACGCAGTGTGCTGTTATATGTAGATGCTAACGTTACTGAGGAAAACCCAAAGATGCCCACATAATTAATTAAAGAATTGAAGTCGCTTCGTTGCATGTATCCTTCACCACTGATTGTCAGGGGGTTTAACTCAAGGTTGGCTCACAACGAAAATGTTACACATATGCATGAAGATGTTTGTTTGGGGAGGTGCCGATCGTGGAGAAGGGGCGAAACAGAATGACAGTACTAAAATACATTTTGGGGCAATAGGTAAACTGAACAGTATCTAGCTAATAGTTGGAATCTAGTGAAAGCCTGATTTATTGGCATTTGTTATCAGTGTATTTATTCACTTAAAATCGCGTAATACGTACAACACAAGTGAAATTGGACTCAGTATACAGGTTAATAATATTAATGGATCGGGCTCCCATCTTTCGGTAAAGTACATAAGTATTCTGTGTTCATTACAGCGTTCCTTTCGTAATAAAATTTTATAGAAATACTTGTAATAACCTTTTCAGTTATGGTATATGCATTCTACATTCTCACATGTATAAAATTATGGTATGACCGTGTTATATATTCTTATTATAATCTTTCCCCATGCTCAGTACGTAATTTGGAACAGTTTATTGTGCTCTTTTTTTTCAGATTTGGAACAATCGTTGTCTAGACCTAGACTGTATGGCGACTGACAAATTATGAATGACGGACCTCATGGAGAACATATGAATACCGTAGCTTAGAATTGTGAGCTGTATGGGATGTCGGACTATTATGAGAGAGAGTATATATATATATATATATAACTAGGTGTATTAAGAAAGTGATAAGGCGTTGCTATATAGACTGATAGGAACATTATCTCTCTGTTCTCCGAACTGCTCTTATCTCCTCTGGGGTCGACACAGCCGCAGTTGTGATAGAAGCTACACTCTTTCAAGTTTGTGTTCAACAGAGACTGTACCTTTTGTAGTTTTTCGAGAGGAAATACATAATACCCAGAGCAGAAGTGGTTCTTTTTGTGTGAAGTGCTTAAAGAAGAATTATATATTTGTTACTGACTGTTTGTGTATACGCTTTAACACTTGTAATGAGTTACAGCGGCGTTAATCCAAGTTTGTAACTCCAGTGGTCATTATCTGGACTGGAAAGTGCCGTAAAAGTAACGACTATTAATCGAAGTGAAAAAAAGAAGGAAGTGTTGCATTTGGCACGTTCAGAAATCCCCCCACCACGCCTAAGTTTACTGGCTGTGTATAGTGAAACACGAAGGCCGTGCGCACTCCACGGTCATAGGTGAAGAAAGTGAGGTTATATTCCTTAGCGAATCTTGTATTAGATCCGTAAAGAACATTTTATATTATTTGTAACACTTTAAACGATTTGTGAAAAGGTTTAACATACGTTTTTTTTCCTTTATAACAATTTGAAGTGAAAAAGAAGAGTTCGGGAAAGACAGCTGACGCATAACGGCGTACTGTTATTATAAACACTAACAAATATAATTTGAAATCAGTCATATGGAAATGTTACATAGCTTGAACGCGTTGGCAGGCAAGATTTCGCCCCAGACTGGCACGGACAGCAATGCCAACAAAGTGAATGTACCAGCCGGTCACCATCACAATCATCACCACCATCATAACAATAACAACAATACGCACCCCCATCCCTACAGCAAGCCACCACCGCCATCCCCGGCCCCGTATGAAGAGAAACAGACCAATGGGACGAGAGGAAGCCCGGAAATGTGAGTGTCACAAATTCTTTTTCCTGTTTCCACAAGGTTTTATGTGTCTAGGTTCATATGCAGTGTAATATACTTCTTAATTCTTGTACATTAAGATCACCGGTAGGGAAACTTGATGTAATAGTAATAGAGCATGCGCATTGTATGTAGTATTAGAGCGTGCATGTAACAGCAAAACATAATTCAATTCAGTTCGTGTTTATTTAGTGCAGGCTTAACAGCACAGTGGCCAATTGCAAAGTTAGCACGAGTACACAGAAATACACAAAAATAATTAAAGAGTAAAATACAAAATATGACAGTCCATATAATAGCAATAAAAATAACAATTCCAAGAAAAATTGAAGTTAGCATAAGTAAAAAATACACATAGTATAATCTTGGTAGTGATTCAGAATCACGAACAGTGTGAAAGTGACAAGCGTTAGACCATAGTCAGTCTGGTTCGTATGAGAGACAACGGTGTCATACGTCACAATGTCGGCGCGCGCGCAATAACTTCGTAGTTCTAGCGAAAAGCAGGTTTAATTTGATGGCTTTCCACTGAAGAATTAAGTAGCCTTGGACATAATAGAGGAGAATATATTAACGTCTAGAAAGGGATTTGAGGTTGAAGGTGGGAGAGAGTATAAGAAATAGAAGTGATCAAACAAACTGTGATGAAATCGAAGCATAAGTAAACACCGAAGATGAGGCAGCAATAAAGCAAGATGTATCTGCAAGGGGCATATCGGGGCAGATACAAATGTAGCTGGAACCAGTGCAAGTACCAGTAGATAAAATACACCGAAACCCAAGAAAACAGCACAACAGCACGATAAGAACTGTTAATTTTGGCATCCAAGGCCGAAGTGTGTGATGTGCTGCGCAGTACTAACGGAAGTTTGAAACCTGCATATCCTCGGCTTCGTTATGTTGCCTTAAAAAATAAACATCGGAATTTATACGTTGATTGTCCTCGCTACAACAAATAGAAAGAGGCACTTGAAGCTCCGTGCGCTGTTAAGTTTTCATATCGTCATGGCAAGAAAACTTACTTTGCCTGCAGCCAGAGAACACGCAATGGTTACGTGTTGTGCAAATACCGCGAAACAATTGCATTTTGTCTGTTATAATGCGGTGTCATTCAGAATCTCAGATATGGCTGCCAGTATCATAACACTGCGTTCAGATATTGTAGAGGGTATCAGATCTTGTTTCTTACAGTGGTAGTAATAAGTACGTAGCATGACTCGAAGATATTTTGGGGTTTGATGCGGTAAATACAAGAAAAACGCTCGAAGAACTTATCGGGGTACTGGATGAGTTTTTGAAGGAGCAAGGTTTTGTTTGTAAAAGTTGCATTGGAACATACAGACAGTCGCTGTGGCAGACGTAGAGAACATAGCAGTACACTTCAGCAGTGTGCTCCTAGTTTTATATGGCTGTCTTATTGCTTTCACGGAGAAGCACCGAGTGCGTAGAAAGGGGGGAAATAAGAGGAATGCGTATGATTTTTGTGGGAAAGGCAGAAGGAAGGGGACCATTAGGAAGACCTAGACTTTGGTGGAAGGATAATATTAAAGTGGCTTTTAGAGAGATAGTATGGGTTGTTACGGACTAGATTGATCTGGATAAGGATAGGAGACCAGACATTAAGTGGAAGGATAATATTAAAGCGGCTCTTAGAGATATAGGGTGGGGTGTTATGGACTGGATTGATCAGGCTCAGGATAGGAGATCAGTGGAGGGGGGGCTCTTTTGAACACGGTTAACGAACCTCCAGGCTCCATAACATCTTGGGAAGTTGCCGAGTAACTGAGCGACGGGCGGTTTCTTCAGTTGTCTGTCTTTGCTCTCGTCAGAGAGAACCGCAAGTTAACTGTGTTGGGAGAGAGACTTGTCTCCTTGTAGCCCAGCACCGCTGTACGAGTACGTGGGGTTATCATGCACACGCACTGGATGCTGCTGTGCAGGCAGTCTTGTTAACCTGAGATTAACTTGGCAGTGTTGCCAATGTATTGACTGCTTACTTCCGGACGCATTTTTTAATAATCCAATGACCTTTTCCCAGAAGAACACGGTGTTCCTTAGCTCTCTTTGGCGTCGTCGTACGGGAAGACGTTACTGAGCGTGATAGTCCATTCAGTCCTCAAACATGGAGCATCTCTGAGGAGTATGAGTTAATCTTTTTTATTATTTGAGCAGGTTACCAGCCTGTTGCAAAACTCCCTGTCTTGGAAGATCAGTGCGTTTATTCAGTTACGTACCCTTGAACAGGTTGCCCACCATGGCTGAGTCCTGTCTACCCACCACCTAACCCAGCTAAGAGCGGCCTCCGTAGTCTAGAGGTAACGTTCCCACCTCATGACTCGTGGTACGCAGGTTCAAACCCGGCGGAGGGCGTGGAATTTTTAAGGGCGGAAAAATTCAGGGAACAAGTCCTCCGGGAGGGACTTTAAGCCGTGGGTCCCGTGTCGTAGCTTTACGGTACGTAAAAGAACCTCATATCTCCAAAGGAGGCCACTGAGCTAAATTCAAGGACATTTCCCGCCCAACAGTAGTCTCTAAAGCCTCTTGATAGATGGGGGAAGCATTATAGATACCGCCAAGCCAGTAGAGGCCGAACTCGCTGGCTCGGTCGGGACTGATGGTACGCACCAATATCGGTAGGGTCTAGAGACTGGTAGAATATCATAGAGGGAAGCACAATGGACCAATACTGGTCTTAGTGCAGGGGGAAACCCACCCTCTCCAATAACTAACTAACCCAGCTAAGGGGCCCACATTTCTTTTATTTCCCTTGCTGGATATTACCCACTGAGCCAGTGGGACCCGCACCTCGCATAAGGCAAAGTCTCCACTCCCTATAGTTGGGCTGTATGTATCCTGTTGTGTTCCAACTAGCTACATTTAGCCGGTGACAGGAGCCTCACGGTCAAGGGACATGAAAGGGCCGCGCCATGACTCAAGCGGGTAGTCGCTGGCTTCCCACCGCGGCGGCCCGGGTTCGATCCCGGGTCTGGAGAAGTGGGATTTGTGGTGGACAGAGTGGCGCTGGGGCAGGTTTTCTCAGAGTACTTCGGTTTCCCCTGCCAATCATCATTCCACCAGTTGCTGCACAATCACCCTCACCTATTATCTGGGGCTAGTACAATAGGCCAGAAGTGGCCGCAGTACAAGGGACTTAGTCCCACCCCACTAACAATAAAAAAGGGACATGAACTGTCTTCGCTCGCTCGGACGCTGGGGTCGTGAGTTCGAATCCCACTCAGGACATTGATGTTTGGTATATGTTTGTGTTGTCATGTGTTAAGGTAGCGGTCTTGCGACAAGCTGATCACTCGCCCAAGAATCCCAGCCGTCTGTGAAAAAAGAATGATTACAGAACTACTAAGAGGCCAGGGCTCTGAAAGGGCCGGAAGAGCCATTGAAACAAAAAAAAAATTACCAGCCTCTTGATTTGCCTTTATGTGTCTGCTCTTTTAGTCTCTGTACACACTTTAAAAATGGGCGACTTCTGCATCAAGAGATTCGCATTTGTTGGAGCAAGAGGTGTATTGGTTTCCGAAACGATTTTTACAGCTTCCAGATACAATTTTGGTGCGTCTGTTTTACACTTTCCTGTGTTTTGTGCCCGATTTGTGTTTGGAAGTGTTGGCATGTATATTATAGTGGAGAAAGAGGCAGCTTGGAACTCGATTGGTGTTAAGAGAGAGAGTTCTCCCAGCCTTTGCCTTTCTGTGTGTCCTCACAGATTCATACATATTGTACACGTCAGTGCCCATACACACATACTGATGCATAGCCTATTGTACTGTACCTCCGGACCTACATACAAGCACACACACCAATCATAATGGTATGGCGGTACGGTTATACTCAGGGTGTACAAGAGACAGTGCCTAGACCGACTCAGTACTCCTATTCATCTTAAAACGATCGGGTCGTGAAACTGACCATTTGCAGCCATCTAGTGCAGAGGTCAAGCATGGTGGCGCTATACCTCCATTCCCCCCATACGTGTTCATAGCGTGATAATTAATTAAGCGTAGAGACAGCTTCATCTGACCTTACACAGGGAACTAATGCGGTGTGTGCCCTCATAATAATAGAGGATTTATACAAACCCCCGTTTTCAGTGTCTGTCACGCTAGCAGGACGTTTGCGAAAACTTTTGTTCATTTCGGACTGTAACTCCAGTTTCTGTGTCTCCCATTCAAAGCGGCAGAGAATTGAGTTAATTTAGAACTTTTACCTGCTCCCAGAGCGTTAAAACGGAACATTTTATGTGCTTTATCAAAAACATTTTCAGGCGGCCAGTGCTTCAGATCACGACGAGATGCAGAAAAGTTTTCAGCCACGAGATACCGACCCAACTTTCATTTTCAACAAAGCGGAGCCGTTCAGGTTTAATTCATAGCGAGGGTGGGGCTGAATTTGTTTGCTGTTTCGAAACTCTGTGTTGTTTACATACGCCCCTCTCCCCAGCGGTTTGCTGTGACAATCTCCAGAGACGTCTGTTTAATGTTCCTGCCTGTCCTCCTCCCTTCCGGTCACGTGGCGTCCGTAAAGAGGGACTTGCTTATCATCTTTCCTTATTCTTCGTGGTCCAGAATTTATTTACTTCATAGTTAGTAAAAGAAACCCCCACGGAGTCCACTTAGTTGCGTTCTTCTGGTCGTCCTATTGTAAAAAGTACAGTAAAGCTATCCCTGTAACAGGCCGTGGAGGCCCACATGGTTGTGAGATGTCGAGGCTCCCACATTTTCTCTAGACAATCGGCTCATACGCATACAAAACATCCATGCCTTGTATGGGATTCGAACCCACGATCCAGGCTTCCGAGCGATCGAAAACAGTACATGCCTTCGACCGCGCGGCTACTGTGACCAGTCCCTTTAAAATACACAGTGCCTATTTGAAAACTTCATTCATATAGTGAATATTGAATGAGATAAAATTAAAAACAATTGTGACTTTATGGGGGGTATAATATCTACCGCCTGCGTAACTTGACG